GGGAGCCGATGGAATGCTCGTTCGATCTTTTATTTTTGTATTTGTTTCACCGGGCTAAAGCAAGAAGCAGAAGGGGATGGTCGATGGTCGCTTCTAATTGTCTAGAAATAAGCCGATAAGGATACGTCGCGATAAGACGAACGGTGCGCGAGTCAACGCAAGAGAGAAATTCGATTTTCGCGGTAGCGCGATACCATTGTACGCGAAGCGTCTCTTTGTCCAACTTTGATTCAAATCTCCCCCCTCTAGCATCGTCCGATTCTCTATACGACGATATACGTCTTAAAACTTGACGGAACCGATGATAAACCGATAACCGGTAAGATCGATGATAATTGTCGCATCAAGAAGGTGGCTAAGGATATCAACGAGTTTATAGCGCCAACGTCTCTTCTCTCGAGTCCTTCCTCGATTTATAGTTTTCTTTGGAACGACGATAACGAATTTTTGATACGGTGTTTCGGCGCTTTCAATTATTAGATAAACGATGGAAAGAATATACATACGATACATGTACTGGTGTGTATGCACGGAGGTGTATAACCTGTTACGTTATCTCTTGAGCGTTCGTTAGCCAAAATATTATATTTCTATTGGATCGATGATTCATCGGGTGATTATTATATTCTATCAGTGACAGGCATACGATGCGTTAATGCCGCGTGACCGCTATATCGCAATAGAATATTATCCATGGTTTTACGTTGCCCCCATTACCTTAACGGCTTAACGCTGTGCACCGAATCGTTAATATCGTGCATAATTGTATCGCTAGATCATTTTTAAACAATTCATTAAAAAATTTACATATTTTAAACGATTTTTCGCATCGAGAAAGCAGCCGTTTTAAACGATCGATCGAATATTAACGAATATTAATACGTATAATACCTATTGATCGACGAAATATATGCGAAATAATATGAATATAAAACGTACGAGTACATTATAAGAGAGGATCTGGATTTACAGTTCCAGTTTTATATCGTATTACGTTCGAATTTACGTCTTACGATAAATTACGATCGATCAACGAATTTCTAAGGTAAATTCCGTCGAAACAAACGTTCCTTTCGAAGCGACAACGTACACTCTTTGACATTCCGCGTTAGACGCGTAATACCTACGTCGAGGTTGGACGATCTCGATTTCGCGAACGTCGCGGGGAAAGTACCGAGAGCTTCTTGACTCGCTGTCGGTTCTCTTACCCCGCTCGGTAGCGTCGCGTCGTCGGATCTTTCTAGAAAACCCTTATCGCTTTCCACCTGCCGCAGGGCACCGTAAGCCCGAGTGTCCCCGAGTCATCGGCCCCGTGAACCGTGCACCGTGCACCGGTGTGTCCGCGATCCGCGCCGGCGGACAACGACGGCGGC